ATTTTGTAAGGAGGAATAGAAATAGGATGGGTATTTGGAAGGAGATCAATTCCAAAGTCGATTTCCCTTTCGGGAGGGACTTTGGGAAGATCTTCTTGAAATACTTCTGAAAACTCACAGACTACTGGAACTGATTCAAAAGTTGGGGTTTCAGAGCTAGAACCCTTAACCCTAACTAGATATTAGAGATAACCCTTAGAGATCATCTTTCTGGCCTTAAGGTAAGAAATGAATTGACCCATAGGCACTAAGCTACTACCCTTCCATTCTAGGATTGGTTCGTCTGGAAACTGAAAACAAACAATCCTAGTTCTACAATCGACTGAGGCATAACAGAAATGTAACCAATCCATGCCTAGAATGATATCGAAGTTTACCATTTCTAACTCTATAAAATCTGCTGAGGTGACTTTCTGAGAGCCTGAGAGGGCAATTTCTGTATACCCATTTAGCAATAATTGGGTCATCGACTAGAGTAGAGACTGAGAAAGATTCTGAGAGAGTTTCTAGACTAACACTAAATTGGACTGCTATACTGAGTTACAAAAGACAAAATCATGTTTGTTGTCTTTCCACTGAGTGAACCATATGTGAGTCACATCTTTGAGCTGGTATGGTGTCAATCTCACCTATCACTACCAGTTACTTAAATCACAGCAAAAATTTTATTGACCTCATCAATGAACTTTTGTGGGTCTTTACAAACTTGCGATCCTAAAAACTTAGGCGGATTCATCCTAACAAAATCACAAACTCTGCTACCACTAAGGGGTCATTTCTGTTAGTAGGAACTAGTTACTCCTGATTGTCCTGGTTGGACATACTTTTAGCCAAAAGCTGAATTGGTGTTCTGAAACTCTGAATTTTAACTTTCTTATCTGGTACTAGAGGAACTGCGTTAGCATTATGTGCATTATCATTCCATGCCTAAGCTCTACGAGAAGGCATGATCTTAAGCGCACAACATTGAGTTAGAATGGAATCAGATCATACCTTACACACGATAAGAGTAACAAGAAAGTGAAGTTTTCCTAAAACACTTTGTAGCCTCCTTCTTATTAGATGTGGTGCACTTTACACCCATGAAATTGATTCTACTTAGTGCGGATTTTTAGACATTCTAGGACTCTTGAACCTAGTGCTCTATAATAAGTTTTGTCACACCCCGAGCTACCCTCGAGACACAGACACGAAACCTGGGACCACAAATGATCCCAAGCTAACCCTGTTGGCATGATCATGAGCATACTAAAGATAACAAACTGATGTGGCATCTAAATCATAATTTTTAATAAAAATATTGGGAATACCTATATGCTAAAACTGATATATATGAAAACTGATGAGTTTGATACAAAGAAGTTACTAACTCAACATTAAGCTTAAACTAACTATGTCTGAAATAAGCCTCTAAACTAGACTAGAAATATTGGGACAAGCCCCAACTAAATCTAGAAAAATTAAACTAAATGACTAAATACTGAAATGAAACTCATCACTGTTAACCTTGGAAAATAAGGACTCACCACTGAATGTGCTAAACTGGAGATCGGAATTCGATCTAGGAGTGATTTGAATGTTGAGAACCTGAACCTACTTCACGTAAAAATGTAGCGCATGTATGTGTCAGTACTTGAAAGGTACTCAGCATGTAGGATAGAATAAAGCTGAAATAAAACATAACTGAACAAGCATAATAGCAAGTAAAATAATTTGAACATGATATGCTGATTAGGAATGCTGAGATAACTAAACGCAATGACCAATTTATAACGTGCTGCAACTGAATGTTGAGTATACTGATAAATGGTCAATGCAAGAGAGTCTGACAGAACTGTGGGAGCTACTAAAAACCAATAATAAAACCACATGAGATAAGTGTGGAGTCAGATGTATACGCCCCATCGAGAGGACCCAATATACCCTGCCCAAGGTATAAAGGTATGTTGGCATGATCACTAAACTGGTTGCCCACGGAGGAGACTTAAAACCTATTTGGCTAATAGTTCTGGGACTAATTGGGTACGTTGAACCCTAGTCCAACTCGGTATTATGCTACTCCCATGGATTTATGAAATTAAGTGATTATGTCTCAATTTTCTGTAAATACTGAATAGCCCAAAACTGAACATTCAAATTGGGAATGCAACATTTAATCTTATAATGATGCATTAAAAACTGAAGCATCTATAACTGCATAACTGAAATATCTGACCTAGCATGTGTAATTCAAGAATTAAAGAAATACAAAGCTAGGGTTCTGAAATTCATGTGATAATCTGAGTAATAGCATGATAATTTGATTTGAAACATATATTTTTTACTGAATCATGAAGTTTTATTGAAGTTCTAGAAACCCTAGGTTTAATCATGATAAGAGAAACAAGAATCTGACTGAAAACTAGGGACTCAATGGGTTAAAGGAACCCACTTGTGAAATCCCACATGCCTGGTGATCAAATCCATGGAAGAATACTTAGGTTTCGGGGCTGGAACTTGTTGTGTTCTTGAACTAGGGTTCTTGAGCTTTTTCTCCTTCCTTGCTTCTAATTTTCTAAGTTTTTGATTTAATGATTTGACTTAAATATGTTTTAGTTATGTTTCTAGGCTTAAACTGACTAAAATCTCATGATTTAAGGTCAAAACGACATAACTTAGGGTTTAAACAGAGTGGGAAAGGATCAAAAGACCCCTGGGTAAGTTGTTGTAGGACCAAACGACGGCCAGGACAGACGATCAGTCGTTTGATCCACGCCCCGTTGTTTTGTCTATAGATTGGGCTTGTTCGATAGGCCCTTACTAAAACGAGCATAATTTTTTACTCAGAGGTCTGATTTTTTCAAAGTTAGTGGCTATGCAAAGCTAATTCAATTATCTATATGTTGGTGGGTCATAGGACACTTAATTCATTTTGTGTTAAGAGTTATGACCATTTGAAGTTGACCCAACTACATTTCCCCCTTAAGTATTTGCTAATCCCCACATACGATCAGACGTATAAACCGAGGGTCCACCTACGAACCGTGCTGGTCACCCGTGGCTCTTGTCAGAGAGTGGATGAAGGGGGTCTCGATCGACGGTCACGGACTACGAACCGTCGTCTGACCAACGGACCGTAGGTCCGTCCGTTGATCAAGCTTAGCCAATTTTTCCCAGCTGAGTTTTGGAAGTCTCTGATCCCATCGACGATTGTGCAGGACGGACCATGGGTTAGGCTACGGTACGTTGATTGTGTCGGTTGCACCTGTAGATTTTTCTAAAAACTTATTTTTGGTTTGTTTTGAATACGGGGTGTTCGCACATATTAACACATCAAAATGCAACTCAATAGGTCTTCTTTTCTTAAATTGACCAGCTATATAATTTCGTAGTTTCATACAATACATAAGCATTTATCATCCAATAAGAAATAATAAAATAAAATGTTTACTTATCAATCTTCGCTTGTACTTTTTAACAAATTTCGTTGTTGGTTACACTACAGATTTTATATAATTTATTTTGTATATAGTACTTATATGGGACACACGTGTCACAGAACTAGTATCCTAGATAATCATTTTACTCTTTTAATAGGTTTACAAAGTTAATCATGTTTTACTTTTTTTAATGTAGCCATGACATACGTTAATTACTAAATTTATCACCATATAATATATGTGTAATATTTTAAGTCCACTTAATTTCTCTTTAATTAATATAAAGAACCCTAAGAAATTAGCTGAACAGAGGAAGAAGACCAAGGATCTTACATACTCCAACATTGATTTTTTCTTAAATTAAAAAATAGAATTTAAATCAATTTTTATATCTTTTAGATATAAATAGTATATTTATGTGATTTGTGTAATGGCAAGTGTTATGGGGTAAACCCTACCTAATCTAACCTACTAGGCAGTATATCACCCTTTGACGTATCACCCATATTATTTTTCTCTCAATCTAGTTCTTCATTTAGACAAGCAGGAGAATATAGAAAACACAAGCACATACATGAATCTCTTCTTAGAATTGTATTGAACTGATGACACAAAGAAAGCACACAAATAACTTGGCTACAAAATTTGACCAAAGCCCCATGCCTGTGAATGATATGCCTATTACCAATAAATAGGTCAAAGCACCTTCTCACATGCCACTCTCATTCAGCTGGCATCCCAACTAATAGGACAATTCAAAATTTAATAATACAAGTTTTCTCTACATTGTTGATGATCCACAAATGGCTAGAAGCTGCCAACGCATGTGTGAGATACATGCAAGCAACCTAAAAATCTGGGGCCAAAAATTGCTTCTGGTCACCCAGCTTTGCGTGTGACTGCGTGCTTGCAGTGTGCACAGGTCCTGCCTCATATCAGTTGTCATTGGTCAAGTTTCTTCTTCCCTTGCCTACCACTAAGCCCTTGAAATTCTTTAGCCATTGTCATGCCATAATCATAGTCTTACATTGTCTTAGCTTTAGCTTTGCCCAATGCTTGTCATGTCTTAGACACACATTGTCTTGCATGCTTTAGCGATGCCAATTCAAAGGTCTATATTTTATTAAGCTTGATTGATCAAAGTCATTGGATTTGGCAACATTCATCATGTAAAATCACTAGCCAACACTGATCCACTGAAACCATCAAGGTGAGGGTCTAACAACAAGGGTATATGTGAGTCACTTTTATAACGAGTGTTATATCATCTCTAAATCACAGAGTTGAGAGATATATCAAATCATTTCTCTAGATATTATACATGTACCCATAATAATAAAAAAAAATTAATGATTCACCAATTACTTAAACGTAATTTCTTAACTACTAAGTAAAATTCTAATTATAAATTAGTTTGTAAAACCAAATCTCGACTTTGTCTATATAGGTAATACACTATTTCACGTTAAAAGATTTGTCCATAATTAAAAAAGTTCTGTAATATAAAAAAAACTTCTAAATAGATTTATTTTCTTTCTTTAAACAAACACCAAGCATAGTGCTTTCTTATGATAGAAACAGCCTAAACTTAAAAGTTGGTCGAATTTCAATTACTGAAATGCAAATACTCTAGTTAAAGAAAAAATATTTTTACCACACCCTCTATCATTACTGATTCTAGCTTTATAAATATGTTTCCAGCTGCACAACTTCCCTCACATTATTCTCTCTCTCTCTCTCTCCCTTCCCTCTCCCTTTATGCATATATATATCAACTAGTGAGTTTTCACGTTTGTACCTAAACAAAGGCATGATAAAATCAAAAATAGTGACTCAGAAGCTTTATGTAATATCCCATATTTTTAAACAAGGACATATTAGTCATTAGCCAAATAAATAATCAATGAGTAAGAAAGAGGAAAGGAGACCAAAGAATTTTTTTAAAAGAAAAAGGGAGTGGACCTTAGCCCAATTGCACGTACATAAAGGGGCTTTAGTTAATAGCTGAACCTTTGCATACTTCTCCTTTACGCGAAGCTACTGTTTCATTCCAGCGACCGAGCGAAGAAGGAAAATAGGTAAAGCTCGGATTTTAATTGATAAGAGAAGTGGACGAAGAAGGTAAGTTTCTAAACATAGTTTAAAGATTGGGTTTTCATACTTCGTGGCTATATAAATTTAAGGATTGAGAATTTGAGAAACATGAGTTTAGAAGAGATAGATGAACCTGTTAAACTCTTATGATTTGAGTGAGTACTTTAAAGATTTGGATTAAACTTTTTCTAGTTCGGCATAAATCGAATAAGAATTGTTGGACGACAATGAAGTTAGCTATTTATTATAGGGTGAAGTAGGTTATCATTATTGTGATTGTTTGCGGGATGAGAAACACCAATTTGATATAAATTTACAGATTGTGAGTCTACCACGAAACCTCGTAGGTATTCTGAATTTAGTTTGAATTATCCTAGACGAATTAAGTAATATAATATTGATGTGATTATAGATTGATTGAGGAAGACTTATGGATTTCTTGAGGCGACAAGTTTGGTATCTCAACACGAGTACTATGAGTAGTAATTTTACCACAATTTGTATTTCAGAAATTTTATGATTTTTACATTTACTTTATAAATCATGAAATTTGTGGAAATACAAATTGTGGTAAGATTACTACTCACAATACTCGTGTTGACATACCAAACTTGTCGCCTCAAAAAATCTATAAGTCTTCCCCAATCAATTTATAATCACATCATAATAATATCATAATACTTCCATCATTTAGGATAATTCAAAACTTAATTCGGATTACCTAATCCTCGAGGTTTCGTGCTAGACTCTCAATCTGTCAATTTATATCAAATTGGTGTTTCAAATCCCGCAAAACAGTCTCATTAATGATTACCTACTTTACTCTATAATAAACAGAATTAACTTCATTGTCGTCCAACAATTCTTATTCGGTTTATGTCGACCTACAAATGTTTAGTCCAAAATCTTTAAAGTTACTCACTCAAATCATAAGAGTTTAACAAGTTCATCTATCTATTCTAAACTCATGTACCTCAAATTCTCAATCCTTATATTTATATAGCCACAAAATATTCAAATTCAATCTTTAAACTAAGTTTAGAAATTTACCTTCTGCTTCTGCTTCTCTCATCAATTAAAATCCAAGCTTTGCCAATTTTCCTTTTTTGCTCCGTCGCTAGAATGAAACAGTAGCTTCGCCTAAAGGAGAAGTATGCAAAAGCTCAGCTGTTAGTTGAAGCCCCTTTATGTACGTGCAATTGGGCTAAGGCCCGCTCCCTTTTTCTTTTAGAAAAATTCTTTGGTCTCCTTTCCTCTTTCTTACTATATATATTTATTTGAAAAATTAGTAGAGCAGTCATAATTCCTAATTAATTAGTAAAAACATTTACACTTTAAAATATTTAGTCAAAATGTCAATATTTTAAAAATAATTTGTAAATACTATTATTTGTCTTTTCTTTTATTTCTCAAACGGTCCAACATTAAATATATTCACTATCCATTTAGACTTCTTCTAGACTTTAATACCATTAAATTTATTTCCATCTTTAAGATTTTCAAAAAAAAATTCTCTGTATCATTTTCACCATTATTGTCTCTCATTGTTGAACAAGAACTAATTATTCAAGTTCATATCAATTTGTTCAGATCTATCGATAATTTATGAAATCTCTCAATACATTAAGGTACTTTCATAATCATTTTTTATTTTGCGAGATTCCATAAGATTTTGTTTTCGAAATAAAAATTATGTTGAATTTTGGATTGTATGTATTACAATTTTTTCGTCATTTTTATTTTTTATTTTTATATGAGTTTGTTAACATACTCATCAAATATTTATGCATTGCTGAATTTTAGTATTTGAAACACTATTTTTATGATTTAATTTTCATATTTGAGATTTAGTAGATTGTAATTTGTAGTAAGCCACATAAGCATTCATACATAATATATTATTTGATTTTTTTTTTAATATATTCATATTTAATAATTTCAAATTTTGATTATAGGGTTATTAATTCACAAATAAACACAGATTCAGATTTGAATTTGGTGAAAAGAATTGGAAAAAAAAACATAGCAGACGAAGAAGAAAGAGAGAGTCAAAGAAAAAGGTTGCGAAATTGTATTCATATCAGAATAATATTCATATTAATTTTTATTTGTCAATTATTTTTCTTTTACTCATCATTTGTATTTTATTAAGAATATCGTGTTTCTTTTTTATTTGTAGTCATTCAAATAGGTATCTTATATGAATTTGTATTTCTAAGCATAGATGTATCCTATTTTTTAACAATCAATCTATATTTTTTTCAATATTGTATTCTGATTATATCATTTTCACTATGTATGCTATCTCATATGAATTTGTATTTCTTAAACATATATGTATCCCATTTTTCAACAATTAATTTGTATTTTTTTTTAATATTGTATATTGATTATATTATTTTACTATGTATGTTATATGTTTTCCAGAATCTTGTATTTTTATTTCTTTCATAGTCAATTTGTATTTATTTTTTTAGAATATTATATCTTTCCTCAACAAATTAATTATTTTCCACCAAGTATGTTATTTTCCCCTAAAAATCTTGTACACTTTCATAAATCACATTAATACATATTGAGATATGTGTATATATTTATATATATATATATGGTAATCAAGTAATACAATTTTGACCACCGGAATACAATTTGTAGTTTGAAAGAAAAAAAATTAATTTTAATTTGAATGGTAAAGTGAGCACATAAAATGTAAAAATTATTGGTTTACAGTTAAAATGAAAAAATAACAAAGGAAAGTTGATCTAATAGAATGAAAAAGAAGTTTTTTTTGAAATTGTTAATGATGAGAATTTTAAGTGATATGTTCCTTATCTAAAAACTATTATCTCACTTTTTCATCATACTACTTTTTTGTATTTTATATATTATTATACAATATTTTAAATAAAAACTAGAATAAATAGAAATACGCATAAAATACATATTAAAATAAATATGAAATACAAAATTTTCGAAGAAACAAATAAATACACATGAAAAATATATGAATACAAATATGTTTCTTAAATAAGTATAAATTTATTTGACATACCTATTGGAATGACTAATTAAAAAAAGATTAAGATTATGGGGAAAAAAGGAAGTTTGAGTTTTATTTGAAAATGTAACTCATGAGAAAATTAAGTAATCTTTAGCTTTTTTTTTGAAATATTCTCTCCCTTAATTTTCTCTTTTTTGTTATTAAATAATTCTATTCTTTAAATAAAAACAAATAAAAAAACATAAATAAGATACATAACAAATTAAAATTTTGACATTTTTACTAAATATTGAAAGTGTTGCTAATAAACCCTCTTAATGTAAAAATATTGATATTTTGAAAAATTTCTCATATTTATTTGGCTAATAACTAATATGTCCTTGTCCAAAAAGATGGGATATTATACTTTATTCTCCAACTCATTCTGACCGGCCACCATCTGCTTTTATCATGCCTTTGCTAAGGTAAGAGTGGTTGGTTTGGGCATTGAAGCAAGAAGAATCTATCTCTAGATGCTGTAGTCTTGTTGATGAGATGGGGATGGGGAAGAATGTTAGAGCCATAGCTATTGTACTTGGTCAACACAAGCTAGGGCAAGTAAATTTTTATTCTATTTTTCTCTCACTTGCCCTTTGTACTTCCTACGAGCTCCCAGTACTAAAAGGATTCTTAACTATATGTCTTGTTGTTGATGTTATTTGGTGAATCGGTGAAATTGACCGTTTCATCATTAAAGGAAGAACTGAAATTCTAGTTTATCATGGTGCCAATAAGTAGAAAATTTTAGATAATTTAGTTGCATATGATTTGTTTTCACTACTTACTCCACAGTAGATCTCGAGTGTAGGAAAATTGTGATGCCACGAAAATAAAAATGGCAGTGTACAAAATCTTCTTATGAGCAAAATTTATGGTTCACTAGCAGTACTTTATACACCAATCTTAGGTGATATAACATCAAAGTTGTAAAAGAATTATTATTCATAGATTCTTTTCAGCTTTGATGTTTTTCGTCCAAGATTACTCTCCGACTTTGACTTCTTAGTTATTTTAACAGCATCGAGTCCACAAAAGTACTTCTGGTGTAAACAGAAAGCTTTTGTTCATTGAAAAACTTTCCACACATTTTTCCGGTATTCAGCCTCCACTACAGAGCACATAGTGATGACAAAATCATATTGCACAAATTTGTCAATATTCTTCTCCTTGTTGGCACCATGATAAACTAGAATTTTGTTGTTCATTTAATCTTACTGACCCAACTAAATCACACCAACAACATTACATACAACCAGGGTTCTTTTTACTGAACTCTTAGGAAGAAAAAGCAACAGGCGAGAGAAAATTGGAATCATAAATTAATTATTGCCCAAGATATGTGGCTGGAATAGTCTTCCTCATTCCCATCTCATCAGCAAGAATAGTAGATTCTTCTTCTTCAGTGCCCTTGAGACAATCTCCGTTGGTTATTTTGTGAAATCTGTCGAGTCCAAAAAATGTCATTTCTGGTTGGATAGCATGTTCGGTTTTGTATTTGTAGGACTGAAAGAATCTCAAAGGTTTGTTTGAGGACCTTAGGAATTTTTCCAAGCTGCATATAGGAACTCATAGTGGTTGTAACAGTTCTGAAATTTATGACCAAATTATAGCATTGACAGAAAAACCCACATGTCATTAACCACCCATTTGAGACTTTTGTAATTCTTTTACAATCCAAACCAAAAGAGTAATTTTGTCAAACACTACCATCGATTCCAAATTACTAACCGAATATTTGACAATCGAGTTTGAGCCCTTTGGGTTTGGGATGAAAATCTGGTGCTGCAACTCGGTAAATTTCAATTTTTGGTTAGGAGAAAGAAGAAGAAGAAGCCGTTGAAAAGAAAATATAAGCTTGCAAAGTTAACAACACTCCAAGGGCAGTGACTGAAAAACTAGTGGAAGTAAGTGAGTTATACCCTGCCCAAAAGATCGAAAGATTACCAATGATGAGATCGTTCTTGGAATGTTGGTGATTCCATTTTTCGATACATTTGAGTATATTTTTCGATATTGGAAGTTGGATGTGGTAAATTTTGGAGAACGGGTGCAAGGTAAGTGTTGACATGTGGGATGTAACTGAGGAGAATACCCCGAAAATATATGAAGGTGGAAATGTTTGCTCAAGAAAGTTGTACAACAATCATGCATCGAATTGTTCAACAACCATGGATTAGCCGTAGGTAATGAAAATGTGCTTTATTGGGGTCCTAGATCTTCAAGTTTAATGATCAAATTACTTTCTTAGATTCGCACTTAGTGGAAGGTCCAAGAATTTAGGACGAAAAACAACATTACTATTAGCATAGTCTTTTGGTCAGTAATACTCTCATATAATTAGTAATATTTCAAAATTGATTCTGAAATTGAAATATTTGCACTATGAAGTGTAATGATTCTTATAATGTTTCCAATTCTGTATACGTGATCCCCTTCCTGTTCTTATATTGTTTTAGTGCTCTCTTTTTTTTAAAAAAAAAGATCAGGTAAAGTAAAGTAGGGGTGTTTCAACATGAGAACAATGTAGTTGACGCCCGAGTGGTTTCGTGAGCATTCAATAGTTTAGGTATGGAATTTCGCAAAGCAATGGTAGTTTAGGTTTGAAAGTTCGCAAAGCAAAGAAGTTGATATACTCACAATAAACGAATTAATTAAGGACCTAACATGACCTAAATAAGGACCCCATTTCGCACACAAACTCAATGGTAGAAGATTACCTGACAATAAATTTTAATCATCACAGGAAATCTTTAAGTTGATGGATTCCGTACAATGTGATTGATTTTAATGAATCAATATTCTGATCATAGTACGATAATATTCTTAATTCCTCGAGCACAGGAAAAGTGTTGATTTTTTTAAAAGATGAGGAAGCAAAAAGAGTTGACAATGTCTCTCAATGGATTAAGATGGTTTTCAATAAATTTATTAAGCATTGAGGGGCTTTAAATAGCCAACATAAAACACATAATGATTGAATTTTGAAATTTAAAATAACCTGAAATATCTCAACAACTCAACAAAAAGATCCTTCTCCATCTTCCAAACAAAAAAGGTTGAGCTGGTATAGTATCCTCAGTTCCTCTAACTTTGTGTCCTCTTATAACACAGTTGGTTCAAAGAAAGAATAATCATTGATTCGCCAGCAGAGTTTTTTAGCAAGTCTAGAGTTGCAAAGTCCGTTTCATTGGTTTTCTCCTCAATGATTGGTTTCTACTCTAAGTTGCAAAAAAGAATGGAGACATCCCTGCTAAGTGCTCCAACACTTGCCAAAAGAATGAACAATTTGTCATGATGAATAACATCCTTGGCACATCAACCACCAGAGTTTCTAGATTCAAGAGGTATGAAAATAACGGAGGGAGAGCTTTTGCATCCGTCCGGATGTTTGAGGATCAATCCATCATTGAAGCGTCAATTGTTTGATGAGCTGCCCAAAATTAATCGTATGCCAACCTTATATGCGCTCTGCAATGATATTATACAGGTTAAGGTCAATGAAAAATTGTATATTGAAAAGGAACTTAATGTACAAGAGAAGTTAATAAATTCATATATACTCACAAAGATTTGCCCACTTCGTCCAGGAACTCAATACTACATAACCACAAGCTTGTCATCGCCAGTCATTTCTGCAACATATTCCTTAATCTTTAGTGCTGAATCTTTTAGTTGACGCTGGCCCAACACTTTGATAGACTTTAATGAAGCAATATCCCAAAAACTGTCCGGGATTTCCATAAGCTCATAACACCATTCTATTTGTAATTCCTCGAGCATGGGAAAGGATTCCTCTCTAACCTGCCATTCAGAAAAAGACACATGATACAATGTGAGAATTTTCAGTTTCTCGAAGGTGACATCTTCCATGTTCCATTCTTTCCCTCCCTCAATGATTACTTCTTGTAGACTCAAGTTTTCAAGGTTGGGCAGTCTCGCAATTTCTGACAGTGAATTCGATGATAGATCAAACCTTGTCATCTTCAATATTTTCAAGCTCAAAGGGAAGTAGTACAGATCACACTGATATTTATCTCTCCATCCCTCACCATGAAAATTTGCATCAACTTGTTCGCGTTCACTGAGGACATCCAATCTTGGAAAACATATTTTCTCTGCTGGACAATACTGTGATGTTTTTATGGCAAATCTAAGACTTCGGATATTGGGAAACCTTTTGAAAATGCCCCCTGTGTCTTGCGAGTCGGAAATCTTGAGCCCAGAT